TTAACCAGAGTGAAATTCACCCATGTCCTTGACCTGATTAGTCCAGTACGATAAGCAGCTGAACCAAGTGTCCATGGCAGAATGATAACAGTTCTAACAGAACTCAAGACTTCTAGACATTGTTATGTCACCTGGAAAGTTCTATGCCAATGAACTTTTGAACTATAGCCGGATAGTAAAGGGTGTGTTTTTGGAAGTGCAATTTAAATAAAATATACCTAAAATTCTAAAAAAAAATATTGTAATGGGGGTCATAGATGACCCAGTGGGTAAAATTACTTGCCACATAAGCTTGAGGACTAGAGTTGGGAATCCCTTGCACCCATATAAAAGCTGGGTAGTCATAGGGGTCTGCATTGATCCCAGTGTTGGTGAAGTAAGATTTGGGTGTTTGCTGGGATGAGCTGGATAGCTAGACTAGCCAGACCAAGAAACACTAGATTCAAGACAGACCTCCTGAACACACAGGGTGAGAGGCCCTGCCTGAACACACGGGGTGAGAGTAAGTGAAGAAGACATGGCCTGTCAACCTCTGACCTCCACCTGAAAATGCACACATGTGCATTCCCACTCACAAACGTGTATGCCCACACATGTGTAAGTACATATGACACACACACATGATATAGAAAAAAAATACTATAGTATTAGAACTAGAGGTGTGACTCATTTGGCAGGGTGTTTAACATGCGTGTATCCCTAAGTTTGATCCCCAGGACTGCATAAAACCAGGCATGCTAATATCATAGCTACACTTGAGAGTGCAGGCAAAGTTATCTTTGGCTACATTGTGAGTTCCAGGCTAGCCTGGGATAGAGGAGATCCTGTTTCAAAATTAAATAAGCAAATATATCATTGATATATTAAATGAGTACTCCAGGAAATGGACTCTGAGACACTGAGATGTGTATACCAAAGGGTTGTTAGTGAACGCTTCTGTAACAAGTAAGGGAATACAACCATGTAGGAGAAACACTGAGGTCCTTCATGCCCACCAGCCAACCATCAACCAGCCATGTGTTCTCAGCAGCCTACAGCTTGGAAACAAACGCCTTGGCTCTAAAGTGTGGTCTAGAAAGTGGTACCCCAAGCTGTCTGATCCAATTGTTGATTAGTCTTAATTCCCAAGTACTTTTGCCCATTCTTCCTGTCCAGCAGAGTGTGAGGTGAACAAGGAAAGGTACAGCCTGTCCTAATACACAAAGAAAAGGAAGTCCACAGAATGCAGAAAACATGTCTATAGTCACCTGAGATTGTCTTTGCTCCTACTCATCTTTTCTTTTTAGAATAGAATTATTTTTAGACAGTGTCTCACTGCGCAGCCATACTGGCCAGAACCCATTGCCTCTGCGTCTGGAGTACTGGGATTAAAGATATGTGCTATCTTTAAATTTTTAAAATTATTTCTATTTCATGTGCATTGATGCTTTGCCTGCATATATGTCTGTGTGAGGGTGTTAGGTCCCCGGGAACTGGTGTTGCAGATAGTTGTGAGCTGCCATGTGGGTGCTAATAATTGGACCTGGGTACCCTGGAAGAACAGTCAGTGCTCTTAACCACTAAGCCATATCTCCAACCACCTGACTTTAACTTTTTTAAAGAGTAATTTCTATGTGGTGTGTGTGTGTTGTATGGCTGTATCCATACGAGTGTGCTTGTAGAAGACAGAAGGTCAGATTGCTGGAGATGGAGTTACAGATAGTTGTGAGCTGCCTGACCATTGTGCTGGAAGTGCAACTGCAGTTCTCTGGAAGAGCAGCAAGCATTTTTAACTGATGAATCTATTCTGCCCTTTTCTTTTAGATGTGGTTTTACAATGTAGCTCCAGGCTGCCCTCAAACTTAATATTCTCCTGCCCAAGCCCCCTAGAGCGCTATGGTTATGAGTGTAAATACCACACCTGGATTTCTTCTTTCTCATTATTGATGCTGTTTGTTTATTTGTTGTTGTTTGAGACAAGGTTTCTCTGTGAAGCCCTAGCTGTCCTGGAACTCACTCTGTAGACCAGGCTGGCCTCAAATGCACAGGTCCACCTGCCTCTGCAACCCCAGTGCTGGGATTAAAGGTGTGTGCCACCACTTGTCTTTTTTTTTTTTCCTTTGAGATAAAGTCCCTTTATGTAGCCCTGGCTGGCCTGAAACTAGCTATATAGGGCTGACTGGCCTTGAACTCATAGAGATCTGCCTGCCACTGCTCCCAAAAACTGAGATTAATCTCGCCAATCAAATTCAATCTCTCCAAACTTTTATTTTAATAGTTTTGAGGGGGTTGAGGTGGAGAGATGGCTCAGAGGTTAAGAGCACAGGCTGCTTTTCCAGAGGTCCTGAGTTCAAGTCCCAGCATCCACATGGTGGCTCAAACCATCTATAATGAGATCTGGTGCCCCCTTCTGGCATACTGGCATATATGCAGGCAGGACACTATATACATAATAAATAAATAAATCTTTAAAAAAAAAGCAACATGATATTCTCTCTGGGTTCTAAATAAAACACTCTGTAGACACACACATTCAACTACTCCCTCTATTCTTTCCAAACTAACATCACATGGCTATTACTAAGAAAACAAATATTTCATTTTTTTCCTCTCCTTTAAAAAAAAAAATGATGCCATAGAGCTGGAGAGCTCAGCCGTTGAGAACACTGGCTGTGCCAGGCAGTGGTGGCACATGGCTTTAATCCCAGCACTTGGGAGGCAGAGACAAGACCATCTCTGTGAGTTCAAAGCCAGCTTGGTCTACAGAGCGAGTTCCAGGACAGGCTCCAAAGGCTACAGAGAAACCTAGCCTCGAAAACAAACGAACAAAAAAAGAACACTGACTGCTCTTGGAGAGGAACTGGGTTGTGTTCCCAGCACCCAGACAGCAGCTCAAAACCATCGGTGACTCCAGTTCGGGGGAATCTGACACCTTCTGCACCAGGCAACAAGTGGAGCATAGACATATGCGCTGGCAGAACACCCAGACACATAAAAATTTAACAATTCAAGTGACGTCACGGTGCACCTGAGATCATTAACTCGGTTTCTAGGAAACAAGCATATCGGCGGAGCAGAGCAAAGGGGGGAGACCTTGGTGTATGAGGCCCCATTATCTGCCCTTGTAAACCCTTTTACTGTGCATCCCACAGCCAGTACCAAAATGATGCCAGCTTACTCTGAGGCAGGCAGAGGGACATTTGCTTCTGTCACTCTCACCAGTGGAGTTCCTCTGTCAAAATGAGTTGTCTTTCTCATGTTCTTTTTCCCGAAGTTTTTTTTTTTTTTTTCTTGTTATTTTATTGCTTGTTTGTTTTTTGGATATAAGTGTCTCTCTACATAGCCCTGGCTGTTCTAGAACTCAATGTGTAGACCAGGTAATCCTTGACTTCACAGAGATCCTCTTGCCTCTACCTCCCGAGTGCTGGAATTAAAGGAACACACCATTACCACCTGGCCTATATTTTAATTTTTAAAAAACTAATTCAAAAAGGGTTCCTTTCTTGTCTGTCTCACGTGCATGTTTATGAGTGTGGGTTCTTGGAGAAGTTGGGGGACAGCCTGCAGGGCTCGGTTCTGTTTTTTCACCTGTGGGTTCTGCAGCCTAACCCAGGTCACCAATCTTGGTGGCAGGCACCTGTAGCAAGCTTTCTTGTTGGGACAGCAAGCACGAAAATTACGACACAGAGACTTAGTAATTATGAAAGCTTGGCCTTTACTTAGGCTTATCTCAACTAGCTCTTATAACTTAAATTAACCTGTTTATTATATTGGTCTATGTTCTGCCACATCGTGTTGCCTCTCTTCCATCTTACACTTTGTTTCCTCTCCGTATCTGGTTGGTGACCTCATCTTCTTCTTCCCAGAATTCTCTCCCTGCCCAGAAGTCCCACCTATACTCTCCGGCTTGGCTATTGGTTGTTCAGCCTTTATTACACCAATCTCAGCAATACACCTTCATACAGGGTACAAATATCCCACAACAGTCACCCCTGCCCAAGGCCTGATCCCATTTATTATTGGTGATGATTGATCACCAATTACAGCCTCTGTTCCTTCTGTTGAGGTGGTTACTCAGTGCTTCTATCTTACCTAATAAGATAAGGAAAGCTAGGGCTTGGTTGCACAGGTTTGTAATCCCAGGTACTCAGGAGGCTAAGAAGATTGTTTTTTGTTTGTTTGTTTGATTGGTTGGTTTTTGGTTTTTCTAGACGGGGTTTCTCTGTATTGCTTTGGAGCCTACCTGGAACTAGCTCTGTAGACTAGGCTGGCCTCAAACTCATAGAGATCTGCCTGCCTCTGCTTCCCAAGTGCTGGGACTAAAGACATGCACCACCAATGCCCGGCATTAAGGAGATTGTTAAATTCAAGGCCCACCTAACCAGAGTAAGTTCAAGGCCAACCTGGATAATTTAGTGAGACTGTTTCAAAATATAAAGTATACCTCAGAGCATATATTTCATCAGTAGAATACTGTGTTTTAATCCCAATTACCCCCCCCACACACACATGAAAATAAATTAGTAATGAAAGACAGGTCAGGCAAACCTAGCAAAACCTCCCCTAACCACACAAGTTTTCAGAGCTACATACAGAGGTAGAAATACACAGACATGTCTCTCCTAGGAGGGAAGTCACCAAAGTTGCTAGAATACTGCTAAGAAATGTACATAGGAGGCGAGAGAGAGGATATAGTACAGCAGTTAAGAGCATTTACTGCTCTCAAAAGTAGACCCGCCCCAGGTTTGATTCCCAGTACTACATGGCAGCTCACAACCATCTATAACTCCAGTCCTAGGAGATCCATGCCTTCTAACCTCTGTGAGTTCCTGCATGCGCACAGTGCATATACATGGTTACACTTTAGCCCATACTCATACACAAGGAAGGAAGGAAAGCAGGCAGGAGGGAGGGAGGGGGAGGGACGGAAAGAACAAAGAAAGAAAGAAGGAAGAAAGAGGAAAGAAGGGAAGAAGGAAGAAAAGAAGTAGATGGCAATATAGACTTTAAAAGAAATTGGATTCCAGGCCAGAAAAATAATTTTAATGTGAGTAGAATACACCAGTCTTCTACCTCATTGCTTCCTTGGCTCTTGCTCTGTTGACTCCTCGTGCCTTGGGTTCTGAGGAGGAGGAGGAAGAGCAAACCACATGTCTAGAGTGGCTTCCACATGGGACAGTCTCTGATGCGGTAAGCTGCTTCTGGTTCTAAAGAAATGTGATATCCTTAGAGCTAGGAGCAGACATGAAACAAAATAATTTATATGTGGTCTGCTGCCTTCAACAATCTCATCTCTTCTTCCTCATGGTCACCGGGCGGCTGCGCCACACTTGAATCCATGGCGACTCAAGGCCACTTTTAAAGAACCTGAAAAACATATGATGAGGGATGGTGAACTTGGGAGGGACAAGGTAGGAAAGCAGGGGGAAGAGCCTGGGCCTTTGAGCATGGTGTTAGGGGGTGGAAGGAGAGGGGAGGAGTGGAGGGTGGGGAGTGTGGGGAAGGAAAATTTAAGAGCCAAATTTTTTAAAGATTTATTTATTTATTATGCATACAGTGTTCTGGCATGTATGCCTACATGCCAAAAAAGGTTACCAAACCTCATTCATTATAGATGGTTGTGAGCCAGCATGTGGTTGCTGGGAATTAAAGTCAGGACCTCTGGAAGAGCAGCCAGTGCTGTTAACCTCTGAGCCATGTCTCCAGCTCCCAGAAGGAAAAATTTAAAATGTACCTTTTCTGCTGAGGGGCAGCCTTTGCTATTGTTCATGTTGATATTCTTCATGGAGATGAGGGTGATGCTGTCTTTCTCTCCATTGGCCGAGGAACCCCTGAGATGGGAAGGAGTCCAGTTACAGAGAGGAGGGGACAGAGCAATGGGAGCAAAGGGAACTTGGGGACATAGGACCTTCAATCTTCATTTCAGAAAACCGTATTTAGGGATGGATCATGATAAAAATGAGAATGGATTCTGAAATTCAGGAGACTTGTATTTAAAGCTTTTTTGTTTTGCTCTTTTTCAAGTTGGGTTGGTGGTGTCCAACTATTAACCCAGCACTTGGCAGGCAAGAGGTCAGAAGATGAGGAGCTCAGTGCCACTCACAGCTGCACAATGAGTTCAAAGCCAACCTGGGCCCTATGAAATTCTCTCTTCAAAACAAGACAGTTTTTACTGTCTACTAGTTGTTTAATCTTGACAAAGTTACAACCTGTCTTATGCTTCAGGGGTTTTTGTTTGTTTGGTGGTATTTGTCTGTGTTTTAGATTGATCTCATATGGCCCAGGCTGGCCACAACTACATCTATAGTCACTGTTGACCCTGAATTTCTGATCTTCCTGCTTCCCACTTGCCAACGTGCTGGGGTTACAGCTGTGTGCCATCAGGTTTGGATTATGCGGTAACTGAACTAGAACCCAGAGCTTTGTGTATACTAGACAAGCACTCTACCAGCTGAGCTACATCTCCAGCCCCAATTTTTAAAAAAAGATTAAATTTAAAAAATTTAAAAACTTATGTGTATGTGTGTGTTGGGGGGGAGTGTGTCCAGGAGTGCAGGTGTCCTTGGAGAACAAGGGCAGTGGATTCCCTGGGGCTAGAGTTACAGATGGCTGCCAGCTGCCCAACTAGAACCTTGGGAAGAGAAGTACATATTCTTAACTGCTGAACTGTCTCTCCAGCACTGCCAACTTTGTAATAGCTCAGTGGTTAAGAGCACTGACTACTCTTCCAGAGGATCTGGGGTTCAATTCCCAGTACCCACATGGCAGCTCACAACTATCTGTAACTTAATTTCTATAAGAATTGCTATAAAAACCAGGCATAGTGGTGCACACCTTTAATCCCAGCACTCCAAAGGTAGGGACAGGTGGATCTCTGTGAGCTCAAGGCCAGCCTGGTCTACATAGTGAGTTCCCAGGCAGCTAGAGCTACGCAGTGAGATCCTGCCTAGAAAACAAATAAAAAGAAACAAAAATGATGGGAGATGTCATTCTGTAAATACGTTTCTCATACTGGTTTAATGAATAAAGCACAGTTGGCCAATAGGAAAGCAAAATAGGCGGGACTAGGAGACAAGGAGGAAAGAGGAAGGAGTAAGGAGGGTCAGGATGGAGAGAATGAGGAGACAAGACACAGGCCCCATTACCTGGTAAGATGAAAGCATGTGGAAATATTAGATTAACAGAAATGGGTTAATACTTAAGACAGAGCTAGCCGATAAGAAACTAGTACCTGGCCAACTCTGTATATCAAATACAGAGTCTCGGTGTGTTATTTGGGGCTGGCGTGGCGGCGGGACCAGACCAGTGGTGGGAGGAAAAACCTTACTCCTTACACAAAAAGAATTAATGTAAAGATTTGAGACAGTATCATAAGTTGTGTGCCATTGTGTATGGTGCATAGTAGGTTTGCTTTTGTTTTGTTTTCCCAAAACAGGGTTTCCCCATGTAGCCCTGGCTGTCCTAGAACTCATCCTGTAGACCAGGCTGCCATGAACTCAGATCTGCTTGCCTTTGCCTGCCAAACAATGGGATTAAAGATGTATGCCACTACTCCTGACTTCAGAGTGGGTTTTCTAAAATTTTCCTGCTTAGAGAGGATGTATCTTACATCGGAATCTGCATTCTTTACTTCTCATGAGGAGACACCAGAAGGTGAATCCTAGTGCTGAAGAGTCTCCCTTATCTCTGCTCACCTGAGCCTGCCGGCCTGGTCCAGCTTCAGTGAAGACTGCAGGATTGTGAGGCATATGTTTTCAAGTGGTGTGAATGGGTGGGGTATGTGTGGAGGAAGCAGGAGTGCGTGTGTGTGTGTGTGTGTGTGTGTGTGTGTGTGCGCGCTGAAGGCTGAGAATGTGTTTTCATCTTGGAGTAGGATTTCAGTTAAGATAGATGATTGCTCTCATAAGCTTCTAAAATCTTACCTTTCGGACAGCCCTGAACTCCCTGGTTTCTGTGGATCTGTAAAATCCCAAGGGCACAGATTAGGGTCATGCACTATAACTCAGATGCCCAGCCTTCCCCTCAAGCCCACCTTCCCATCTCATCAAGTGCTGCTACTCTGTGCCATTCCTGCCCTTAGCCCAGCTGGCATCAGCCTGAACCCCTTGCTCCGGCTCCCTCAGCATAGGGATCAAGGGAGCCCAGCAGGTCAAGACAATTACCTTCAGACTCCTTGTTCTTCTGACACTTAAACCTTAGACTGACCACACTGACTAGGACGATCACCACAACCACCAGGATAACAATGAAGCTGATGACACCTAAGCAAGGAGGGAGAGATGGGGCAAAAGAATGAGTCTAGAATTCCCTTCCCTGGTAAGTATAGTGTGTGCGTGTGTGTGCGTGTGTGTGTGCGTGTGTGTGCATGTGTGCGTGCGTGTGTGTGCATATGTGCGTGTGTGTGCATATGTGCGTGTGCGTGTGTGCGCATGTGTGCGTGTGCATGTGTGTGTGTGCATGCGTGTGCATGTGTGTGCACGTGTGCATGTGTGTGTATATATTCTCTCAGAGTGAAATGAATTCTGTTTCTCTGGGAAAGAAATGAGTAATCTATTAGCTGGTACCCCTACCCATGGTGGATTACTTAGCCTAACACCATCACCCACAAGAACATGGAGCCCAAGAGAGCCAAGAAGAGCTGACCAGAAGTCCAGTGAAGACTTCTTTCCATGAGGACCTTGCAAGTTCATCCCAGAATGAATGGATGAGATTTGAACTTTTGTTCCTACCCAGAGTCTAAGTCAGTCCTGAGGTAGAGTCCCCTCTCATGCCCCATCCTCCCTGCCATCTCTCACCAAAGGCAGCCACAGTTAGCGCTGACTCTGTTGTGGGGCTGGGCAGGATGATCACATCTTCCCTTGTCCACAGGCTTGTGGTTACTGCATTGGGAGTAGCATTCAGAGACGCTTCTGAAATAGAGTAGGTGTTGATGCATCAGGGAAGGGGACTGGCAGGAACTGGCAAAGAGAGTCAGCCTCTCTCTTGCTCCCCTGAGGTAAGAGCCTGCAGAGGGCTAACAGCCCATAGAGAGGGACTTCCTCTCTGCCACTGAAGACAGAGATTGGAGACCTCACGTCTCCACAGGGATAGCTCTGCTGGTTGTTTACATTACTGGTGTCAGAGGACTCCAGAAGGTTCAAGATGCTTCCCAACACCACATGGTACCCAGAAGGAAGGATTTATGCCGCAGAAACAGGGAAACACACTTAAAGCAGAGCAGATGGGAGGAAAGAAGGCACCGACCCAAAGAGCCAGGGTGCCAGGTACGGGGCATAGGTCTCTGGTCCTCTTAAAATGACATTGGGTGGGCCTCACAGCTCAACAGGTAAAGGTGCTGTATGCTGCCAAGGCTGGTGGCCTGAGTTCAGTCCCTAGGATCTACATGGTAGGAGAGAACCAGTATCACATTTCTCTTCCCTTGCACAAGTCATACACTTCAGACCTATTTGTTATCCTATCTCCTTATCTCTACTCGCCTCCTGAATAAGAGAGTAAAATGTCCAAGGACAAAAAAAAAAAAAAAAAAAAAGGTTGGAAAGAAAAGGTCATAGACATGTCTGATCACTTCTCTTTGCCGGGAACACACATTGGACATACCTCCTCTTGTGCTATTGAGAGCTCCACGGCGGCGGCTGCTGCTGCTGCTGCTGCTGTTGCTGCTGCTGCTGCTGCTGCTGTTGCTGCTGCTGCTGCTGCTGCTGTTGCTGCTGCTGCTGCTGCTGTCTGGCATCCCTGTGCCTACACCTGAAGCAAATGGCCAAGGTTGTCTAATCCTTTTCCAACCCTGTATTTGGGAGTCCCCTTCTCATTTCCCTATCCCGTCCACTCTTTTCTCAGTCCCAAATTCAGGAGTGTTTAACCTTGATTAGGGAGCAGGCCCAACTTTCTGTTTCTATTTCTCTCCAATGATTTCTTATAATTTCCCAAACCAGGGCACCACTCGTGTGGCTTCTAGTCCCCCACTCCAGCACTTAGGTCATTTGGCTAAAGGAAGAAGGAACTCATCCAGGCATATCTAGTGTCAATCACCTCCTGCCTGCCCATCTGCCCTGGGTTCTCAACAAATTCCAATGTGTGCTTCTGTGATATAAGGCCAGGACCAGGCAAGGAAAGGGAGTGGTTATCCAAGGTGCTTGGCCTGGGCGTTACAGGCTGCCTGGATACCAAGGAGCCCTGTGAGGCCTTCTGTAGGATTTCTGTGGATTAGGAAGCACACGTGACCTGCTCAGAGCAACAGTCAGAATATGCACAGGGAGGGCTCCTTAGTGCAAACCATCCTCCTTTCTCTCTGTTTCTTTCCTTGTGTGTACATTAGTGCTTGAATCCAGGACTCCCTTTATACTAGGCAAGCACAGTACTCTGAGCTACAGCCCTCCTTCCCATCACTGCCACTGTCTCAGTTCCTGAAGGAGCCGTTCTCTGGCTCACCGCTCAGCCTTGGTCTTTGCAGGTTGTTCTTCCTGGAACACATATTTCCCACCTCCCCACAACCTCCACTTGTTCACCTCGCTCCTCCCAAGCTGTTCTTGAGGCCACTGCCTGTGGGAAGCCCCCCACCTAGCTGATGTCTGAAGTGGGTGACATTTGTGTGGGTCCTGTGACATCTGTTCCTGATGCCCAGCTCTGGAATTACCCTGTTTGCCTGTCCCTTCTGCCACAAGTCTACATTCTCCTGCAGAGCTGACACTGCCCAGTTCCCCCTGGACCCTCCCTGGGCGCCGTTTGAAGTCTCGGCAGCTGAGTACCTGGGGTCGGGGTGCTAAGGAGAAGCTTTGGGCTGTCAGGCCCTGAGGGAGATGTGTCTCCTGCAAGAACAGAAGCAGATGGTAAGGAGTAGGGCAGGTCTGGTGATCTCATGCCCCTTTGCCCATCTGAGAACCTCCAAGCTCCAAGTAGGTCTGAATGGCTGAGGGTGGCATGGAGGGTAGAGATGGGCCTCTCATCGGCCCAACTCATTCACTCACCTGAGCTAAGAGAAACTGGCTGAGGGCTCAGACTCCTGGAGAACCCTGACACGCATCATTTGTGGGTTCTGTTCCTTTCTCTTCTTCTCTGAAGCTGGGTTTTTGTTTTGGTTTGGTTCTTTGTCTCCTTTTCTCCCCTCCTCTACCTCTGACTATTCATCTCTTCCCTCTTCTAGCCATGTTAGACTAGGCCAGTTGACTGAGCCTCAGGGACCTCTGGCTGGAGCTCCCATCACTCGCATTCAGTCAAAAACAACAGAGACCAAATTAAGTGGTCATGGCCCATGCCTTTACTCCCAGCACTCAGGGTAAGGATGGGGAGAGTCTCTGGGTTTGAGGCCAGCCTGCCTGGTCTACAGAGTGAGATCCAGGACAGCCAGGACTACACACAAGAAACAAACAAACAAAAAAAGAAAGAAAAGAGAAAAACAGAGCCCGCAGTTCCCTCCTCTAATACCTTTCTAAACTCTTAGGCACAAACGATGGAGTAGACCCCATGAGTCTTACCCTGAGAGGTCTGAGTTGTTGTAGGCTGGGAGCCGTAACCTGTGAGAGAAAGCAAAAATGCTTAGACTTTGACTGGGCATGGTGGCCCACGCCTTTGTTCCTAGCACTCAGGAGGCAGAGGCAGGCTGATAGCTGTGAGTTCGAGGCCAGCCTGGTCTACATAGTGACCAAACCAAATTTGTAGACTACCTTGTTAACTCTGGCAGGCTGAGCTCATGAGGGAAACCAGGTCTTTGGCTGCTAAAAGGCAAGCACACTTGGCAAAGGATTATAGGATAGTGATCCATCACCATCACCATTGGCGCAGTGTCTTTAACTGTGTCTTCAGTCCTCTACAGGTACCCACCAACCTGACCCAAGGCTAGGGGATGGCTATCTAAACTAACGATGCGTGTGGCCAAACACCCAGAACGCTAGGTCTCTGGGCCTATGTCACTACTGGCCTATTTGCTTCCCCCTGTGAAGACTGTCATTTTGTCGATTTGTCTTTCCCTCCAAGAGGAGGGGATGGATGGGGGAGGTGGATGAAATGGGGTGGGGCTTAGGGCTTTCATTGTGGCTCTCCCTCTCCCTCCCTCTCTCTCCTCCCCCACAGGAGGCAGAGGCCTGAACAGGAAACAAGTTCTGAGGTATGTCCAGGAGGAGAGGAAGTACCGAAAGGAGCGGCTGGCTCACTCTTACAGGCAGGGGCAAGTTAAGAAACAGTTATTCTGGCCAAACTTAGGGAGGAGGTAGCTCCCAGCAGCTATAGTTGGAGCCTGTTAGCTATTCTAACACGTGAGTCTGAGAGCCTCTTGGTAGATATGTGTGTGCTTTTATGTGTGTGTGTGTGGGGGGTGCGGCTGGAAGGTCAGGTTATGTTTGCTCACTTTCCACAATGAAATCACTCTTGAAACCTATGAACAATGTGAAAGGAAAACAACATAGGGAAATGGAACCCGCCCATCTGGAGCCTCTCCCTCCTCACAGTTTGGGGACTGAGGCCTCTGGTCTAGCTCTACTGTTTCTTGGCTTCTCATCATTAGGGAAGTATCAGGCCCAGGCCGGGAAGGACTGAGGCAGCTGGATTCCAGGGGCCCACCTCAAGCTATGGCAGCCTGCTGGTCTGTTTATTTTCCCTAAGCCACTACCTTCCTCCATGGATAGTATGGACTTGCTTCCAGACCAAAGCTTACCCAATCATGAGATGCATTTTTCAAGGTCAAGATCTCCCACAGCCTTGTTCCTCTGTGGGTAGAGTTTCCAGAGGAGAAGTAAACATTACAAGAACCCCAAGCTAGAGTGAATCCTTTCTAGCAAGGGATGAGCCTGGGTGAGCTCTTCACACCCAAAGTCTGAACACAATCGCTTCCGGTTCAAGCATGCCTTATGAATATACTCTTAGTTCTGGGAGGGATGGAAGTCAGTGTGCACCTGCCTTTCTGAACCTACCTGAAAAAGATCTACAAGTTTTTGAGGCATTCCCAAGGCACAAGCTTCAAGCCCTAAAGGTCTGTACTTTCTTTGCCAGTGCTTCCGAACAGGGGACAACAGACACCCACAGAGCCATGGGTACAGGAGTTTCTGTTTTCCTGACCTCCGTTTCCTCATCCCTACCTGCTTCATTTCCTCCAGATCTAATCTTGTCCACACCCATGTTTTCCTGAGCAGGGTAGTTTAGTGTTGAAAACCCCAGGATGTAGCTCAGGGGTAGAGCACTTATCTAGCCCGTGTGAGACCCTAGGATCAATCCCCAGCACCAAAAAGAAGAAAAGTGTGTGTGTTGGGGGGGGATTTGAAGTTCTGGCTTTACTCACTCTCTGAGTCGGATTGGAATTCTCTGAAGTGTGAGAAGCTAGAGGTGTAATTCTGTGTAAACCCTAAATTAATTGTATCCTCAGCAATATAACACACACACACACACACACACACACACACACACACACACACACGAGAGAGAGAGACAGAGACAGAGAGCCTCATAAATTGCTGGGGTAGGAAAGAAAATACATATAAAACACCCAGCTCCCAACAGCCTTTGCTCAATCAGTGCTAGACATTTTAAAAATTTGCTCCATTCTCTTGATTCCTCCAAATCTAAAGACTGGCTGACTCTCTCCATAGTGAAGCTCTGCTGTCAGCATGAATCTGTACCAGACAACCTCTCAGTCACCAGAATGAGGCAGAAAAGTGCTGTGAGCTCCTGGGTGGAGCTTGGGCAAGTTAGGGAGAGTCTAGGCCTGTGGAATCCCTCAGAAGTCCCCAGAATTAACCTCTGACTCTATCCTGTGGGAGTTGGTGGGCAGGGAGTGGTGTCAACATTGACCCCAGCCCATGGGCTTCTAGAGAAAGGTCTCACTTGGGCAGGGGGCAGCATTTTCTGGAACACGGACCCTCTCCCCTAAGTACATCGGCCATGTTTCCCCTGCTTGGAGCACAGCCTCCTAAGTCTCCCACAAAGGACTGGGGTTGTGGGTATATGACGAATGGAAGTGCTGCTCTGTGAGTCAGTGTCCCGGACTTCTCAGGTTCCCAGCAATGGCTCCTAATTAGAAGATCCTGCCTCCGGACCTTACTCATGACTGCCAGCCATGTCTGAGAGGTGTCCTTTCAGACAGCCTGCTGGAGGGGCTCATCCAGCCCCTCCTTGGTAAACAGTCCTTTGTGTCTAACCAGAAGCCTTCTCGATGTGCTTTTGAGATTAAAGTCAGCATTTGAAATTCACAGGCTGTAATTCTTCACTAACAGAGAAGGTCAGAGAAGGTAAAGTACAAGGTGCAAGACCATTTTGTGCTAGAAACTTCTATAGAGTGACTGTGGTGACCCAAGCAGCCAAGAGTATTGACAGGGCAGCCACAGGCTTCTCCTGTCTCTATACCCTTAGAAGGAATTTTCCAGATCCTGTCATGCATCAAGCTGGCCACTTCTCACCTTTCAGGGGGCCAGACTCTATGGGGGAACCCTAGAAAACATGGTAACTGAACCTAACAGTCTGTTTTACTGAGGTGGTAATTCCCATCCTCAAGGCCAGCTGATCCCCTTTATGGAAAGGTTCTGGAATTTCCCTTTTTCAAGCAGAGCCCTAGATGGGCAATGTGTGTGTGTGTGGGGGGGGGGTTGGAGAAAAGTGGCAAGTGCCTCTTACCTCCTTGGAACAGAAGTAAACCAAGGATTGCTGAACCCAGCCTCATGGCTCTGCCGGTCCCCATATCAGCTGGGCGTATAGCCGGCAGGCTCCTCCAGTGTATTCTCTGTCCATAGTGGAGAAGAGAGAGGGAGTCCTGGAGCGAGATGGGGGTGGGCGGGGGCTGGCTCTCCGGGAGCTTCCTGTCAAAGAATAGAAGGAAACAGTTTGGCCTGGCTCCAGGGGCCCCAGTTGAGCACACAGCCCAGATGAGGATATAAGCCTGAACAGCAGAAGCTGTAAGGACTAGCTAGGGCCTCTTTGGCCTCTCTGGGTTCTGCATACAATGACCAATGGTGGCAGTCTGTTCCTATTGCTACCTTCCTCTCTGAGGGATCCCTCAGTCTCTCCCTGCAGCCCTGCATTTTCCCCCAAGCCTACTGTTCCAGACACATTCTCCTCTCCAAGACCCAGACCTAAGCTCAACCCACCAGCTGCCCATGCTCTGAAGACTATGGATTCTCCACATTCCTCTCCCCACTCAGGGCTCCCGGTCCAGATGGGACTTCCAGCATCCTTTAGGGAGGCCTTACAAGCAATCTTATTATTCTTAATAGAAAACAAGAGGTGGGCTGGGCAAAGAGGTCAGCCTTACAAGCATGGGAACCTAAATTCCATCCCAACACCCTCATAAAAATCCAACAAGGTGGCTGTCCTGTAGTCCTAACACTGAGAGGCAGAGAGGAGGGAATCCCTGGAGCTTACTGGCCCTCCAGCCTAATTGGTGAGCCCTGGGTTCCTATGAAAAACTATGTCTTAAAAACCAAGTGCATGGTTCCTGAGGAACAGTACCTGAGGCTAACTTTGGTCTTTGTACACACACTTGCACTGGTATACACATGCACACATACACACAGTGACACACACACACTCACCCCACACCAAACACAAACACATAAAAACACACATACACACTACACACACACAAACACATAAACACATACACACATACACATCATACACACACACAAACACATAAACACACACACTGCTTCCCAAGTGCTGAGATTAGATAGATATGTGGGTCACAATTCCTGGCTTTCTTATTTATTTATGTATCTCTCTCTCTCTCTTCCTTTTCTTCTTGGGTTTTCAAGACAGGGTTTCTCTGTATAATAGTTCTGTCTGTCCTAGAACTCACTATGTAGATGAGGCTGGCCTCAAACTCACAGAGATCAGCCTGCCTTTGCCTCTGCCTCCTGAGTGCTTTTTAGGGCCTGAGAAGATGGCACAATGGCTAAGATCACTGACTTCTCTTGCAGAAGACCCAGGTTCAGTTCTCAGCACTCATATGGTGGCTCACAATCATCTCTAACTCCAGTTCTGGGGAATCTTCTAGCTAAGCATCCGGCTTAGCTACACAGACATAAGTGCAGGCAGACACCCATCACATAAAATTAAATTCAAAATTTAAAAATTAAAGTTTATTTTTATTAATGTGTATTTTTATATCTGTGTAGGTGTGTGTTACATGTATATGAGTATATGGGTGTCAAGGAGGCCAGGAAAAGGTGTCACTTTCCCCAGAGCTGAGTTGGAGGTGGTTGAGAGCCATCTGATGTGAGTGATGGAAACCAAACTCAGGGCCTCTGGAGCGGCAGTCAGTACTCTTAACTGATGAGCCTTCTCTCAAAACCCTGGTTTTTTGTTTGCTTGTTTTCAAGATTTATTTATTGGTATTTTTAATGTGTATGTCTTGCTAGCGTGTAGTCTGTAAACCACATGTATGGAGTACACCCTTAGGCCAGAAGAGGGCAGCAGATCTCCTGGAACTAGAGTTACAGATGCTGGCTGACATATGGCTGCTGGGAATTGACCATGGATCCTTTGAAAGAGCCGCAAGAACTTTAAACTGCTAAGCCATCTCTGAAAACCCTGATTTGTGTGTGTGTGTGTTGTTTTGTGTGTTTACAATCTTTTGAGAATTTCATACATGAATACTCTATTACATCATTCCCACCAGCTCCTCCTATGTTCCCCTTGCTCTTCCTCAAATTCATGACCTCCTCTTATCTAAATATTATTGTTACTTTATATGCATCTGTGGCTTTGCTTATTTTACTTTGTTATTGTTTTGAGACAGACTCTTGCTCTATAGCCCAGGATGACCTCAAACTTCCTGTCTCAGATAAAGTTTGACAATGTTAGAAACTAAACAGGTAGATTTGGAGATGGCTCAGTGGAGACCTGGGTTTGAATCCCCAGAACCCATATAAAGCTGAGTGTGTAGTGTGGTGCTGTAATCCCAGTATTCCGGGGTGAGATGGGGAAGCAGAGTTCCCAGGAACCTTCAGGCCAGCAGGCCTGGCATATGCAGCAGTAAACAACAGTGATGTGGGATAACGCTTTTGTATACTGTAAAGATTCGTCACTCATATTGGTTTAATAAAACACCGATTGGCCGGTAGCCAGTCAAGGAGTACGGTGGGGCTAGCAGACTAAGAATGCTGGGAAGAGGAGAGGCAGAGACACAGTCGCCAGCCAGACGCAGAGGAAGCAAGGTGAGAGCGCCTTACTGAGAAAAGGTATCAAGCCACGTGGCTAAACATAGATAAGAAATATGGGTTAATGCCAGGCGTTTAGTCCCAGAACTTGGGAGGCAGAGGAAGGCGGATCTCTGTGAGTTTGAGGCCAGCCAGGTCTACAGAGCTAGTTCCAGGACAGCCTCCAAAGCCACAGAGAAAGCCTGTCTCAAAATAAAAAAAAATAATTATGTTTTAATTTAAGTTGTAAGAGTTTGTGAGTAATAAGCCTGAGCAATAGGCCAAAGAGTTTATAATTAATATAAGCCCCTGTGTGTTTATTTGGGACTGAATGGCTGCAGGACTGGACAGGACAGAAACTTCTGTCGACACAACAGAGATGCCTCAAACAAGGCAGAAGGTGAAACTGACACCCAAGGCTTCCCTCTGTGTCACACGCACGCCCATACTTACACACATGAACATGCACACAAACAAAAGTCCACACACATTGTATATACAGAGACACACACATACAAAAGCAAATGTTAATAACAGGTAAGAAGTACACTTGCATAGAGTTTAAAGAAAAGAAAGGTTATTCGGCCGCAGGAGCTGAAGAATACTTCCAGGAAGGGCTGACACCCAATGAGAAAGATGATTAATTAAGGCTTGGACAGCAAGGGGAGAGGGGCAGCTGCAATGGTGGGTGTGGTCACGGGAAAGTGATGGAGAAGCCGTGGGCCAGAAAGTCCACACTCTTCCTCTCCCAAGCTCAGAAGTGAAAGTCTTGACCTGGGGCAGAGTCTGGATTCCCACTGGCTAAGATCCAAGAGGACTAAAGTGGGAGGCAGATTACCAGAACCTTCAATTGCATGGAGAAATGATCAGTAGCAGATTTCATGGCCCACCAGCAAGAAGTCTCAGGAATCTGAGTGGAGGTGACAATGTGTGGGCAGCTTGGCTAAAAGACAAGAAACCAAAAAGCTATTAATACTTAGTGCTTCAAATCAGAAGGTGAGGACATCTTCTGGGAGCCTACTGGTCTTCACATGAATAGAAGCCAGTTTGCATCCAGGGGTAGGATGAAGAATGGCTGGTTATGGGCAGCTAGTTAGGACCAAAAATTACCTTGGAGCCAGGTGTTGGTGGCGCACAACTTTAATTCCAGCTCTCTGGAAGCAGAGGCAGGCAGATCTCTGTGAGTTTGAGACCAGCCTGGTCTATAAGAGCTAGTTCCAGGACAGCCTCCAAAGCCACAGAGAAACCCTGTCTCAAAAAAGAAGGAGAAGAAGAATAAGGAGAAGAAGGAGAAGGAGAAGAAGGAGGAGAAGAAGAAGAAACAAAGAAAATAATGTCTTGCAAAGGGATATAACTCAGATAGGTGTTTGGTTATCATTAGGTTAAAAAAATGTGTGGTGAGATAAGGAAATGAGAATTTCTAATATATATTATTATATATTGTAAACTTATTTTGGGTGTGTATTGGGAGGGGTATATTCCACAGTATGTGTAGGTCAGGGGGCACTTATATGAGTCAGGTCTCTCCTTCTACCATGTGGATCCTGGTGACCAAACTCAGGTCATTAGTCTTGGCAGCGACCACCTTAACAAGAGGAACTATCTTGTCAGCCTGGGGATTCTGTTTCACTGGTAACATTTTAGGTTCTCAGCACAAAGAAAGGACAAATCTTTACAGTGAAAAGTTATGGCTCTTTCAGAATTTGTCTCACATGTGTATGGTTTACACCAGAAAGATCCCTACTTCCCCCACTATCCCCACCTCCCCACTCCTGAAGAAAAAAAAAAGCCTGCAGTGGTAGATGTACCACCTACCCTCTGCCGATGTTTATATATCTATATACTTTATTAATAGTGGCTGCACACAGTGGCCTAGACCTATCATCTGAGCACTCTGGCAGCAGAGGCATGAGGGTCATGGGTACCAGGTGAGCCAGATCTACACAGTAAGACCCTGTCTCAAAGACAGAGAGGAGGACAGCTACATTATATTCCATATGTACATACAATGACTGTGCCTGTTAAAAAATAGGGGCTAGAGAGATGAATCAGTGGTTTAGAACACTTGACCCTCTTGCTGAGGACTGGAGTTCCACTCAAAGCACCCACACAGTGGCTCACAACCACCAGTAAATCCAGATCCAGGGTATCTGAGGCTCTTTTCTGATTTCCTCCAATACCAGACATGCACACAGACATACATGCATGCAAATACTTATATACATAAAATAAAACAAATATATCTAAATAAAACTCTACTTGATGTACAATGTTAAACGAAATTAAAATAAAAATAGATAGCTTTCTTGGGCAGTGATGGCACATACCTTTAATACCAGCACTCTGGAGGCAGAAGCAGTCAGAGCTCCATGAGTTTGAGGCCAGCCTGATTATATAGTGAGTACCAGGACAGCCAGAGCTACATAGAGAGAACCTGTCTCAAAACAACAACAATAACAATAATAGGCGGCTTAGCAAATAAAGTTTGATCCTCAGAATCAACATAAAGGTGGAAAAAAACAACTCCACAAAGTTGTCCTTTGAGCCCACACACCTCCATGACACAAGCGCCTCCATAACGCCATGCATGTGCACATTCACACATAAAAAGTAAAATAGATTTAGAAGACTAATTTAGTTCTTCACATTTGAGAATAAATGTGGTAGAGCAAAGACACCCGGATGGACAGAGCTGTTGGGCTATAGCGATTTAGAGACATTATATCCCGTATATTACGTAGGGTGTGTGATCTATACTCTAGTGATTGAACTATTTTATATGTAACAAGGAAAGGCCAAAGGACCTGAGCTTCAGGAAGTGAGAGTAGGAGAGTGGGCAGGTCCTAGGGAGGGTGTAACTGTCTGCCAGGTGTCTGCAATCTGCCAGAGGAGATGTGGGCAGGGCAATCCAGGCTCCTGAGCAGCAGGAGGCATCAAAGGAAGTGCCTAGGAGGAAGATCAAGGTACTCTCAGAGTTGAAGGCTGGCCCTGGGTAGCCTAGATGTTCCTGTAATACAGGCGCGGGAAAAGAGCAGTGAGGGTGTGTGCAGAGGGTGTGTGCCTGGAGAGCCACAGACGTGGCAGCTCCGGGTAGGGGCTGAACTAGGGCAGTGTGCTCTCTTCTTTTGCCCAGCTAGTATCCAGTCCCAAGAGAACTCTACTCCAGCTCTGGACAATGCACCAGGTAGACTCTTTCTCACCCCTTCCTGCCAGCCTGGCCTGACTCCCTAAAGGCCCCCACACCCTTCCCAACCCAAGCTTCCTTCTCCCTCTGTACTCCTGAAATTGCTATTTTGCTTCTGCTGGGAGGCCCATGGCAGCCCCCAGCACCCCAGCTTAGCCCTGTATAGGCAGCAGTATTGAGATAGAATCTATTGACAATGTGGCAGAGGGAATAAAGGAAATCGTTTTGTCTAGTCAGCTTCTCATGGCTCTAACTGCCTTCCACAGAGTGGGCCAGACTGAAGGCTCAGAGTTAGAGAGGCCCCCAACTCCCAGTGTATTGTAGAATGATGGCTGGAAGGAGGGAGGCCAACTCACTAACTCTGGGCTTCCCTTTCTTTATGGAGATCCCCTCGCCCCTACTGAACATCCAGCAGGGTAGGGACACACTGGTGACATGGGTTATGTCCTCAGAAAAATCCAGAGATCCTGGCAAGGGTAGACTGGTGCAGGATCATCTCAACCTGGGCATAACCAGGAGTCTACACCAGACTCCAGAACAATCTAGTCCTCTAGAACTTGGCCCCAAGCCCTGGGGGACATGGTGCATAGTTATGGGATGAAGTGTGGGATGACATTTGCTCTTGCACCAAGGGTCTGGGGCTCAGGTCCCCTTTTCCTATCCCCTGCCAGGGCACCACTTTTCTGCTTCCCAGTGACTTAGAGTAGGGGAGCCTCTGAGACCAGACAGTGACTCCGTTTTCCCAGAACACCTCCAAGCAGCTGCTGCTCACTGCCCACTGCCCAGGATGTGGGGCAGCAGCCCAAAGAGGTCTCAGGGACACTTTTGCTGGAGGCCTGGGAAGAGGGAGCAACAAGAGGAGGCTTTGGAGACAAACTGTATTTGTTATAGCAGACTATAAGAAAGCCTCTCGCTTTGCCCTGAGTGACGTAAACACCCTATCTTCTGGGAGTTTCTGTTTGTTTTTCTGTCACTGTCTCCATCTTCATTTCTGTCTCTGTCTCTCGTTCCCCCCCCCCACAGCCCCCACTGTCTTTGTCTTTCAGTTTATTGGTTTTTTGTTTTTTGGGGTTTTTTTTGTTTGTTTGTTTGTTTTTGTTTTTTGAGACAGGGCTTCTCTGTATAACAGCCCTGGCTGTCCTGGAGCTCACTATGTAGACTAGACTGGCCTCGAACTCACTGAGGACCACCTGCCTCTCCTTCCAAGTACTGGGACTAAAGGCATGCACCATCATTGCCCGACCAATTTATTGTTCTTATGAGTGTGTTTAACCTTCCTCTCTTTCTCTCCTATCTATCAGTGTCTCTGGGGTTTTCTGTTTCTCAGATCCCTCCCTCTCCTTTGGCCTTTTTTCTGTATGTTCATGCCCATGTCAACTTCTCTCTGTCATCTTTCCTCTTCCCCCAGGATGGCCACTATCCTCAACCTTCTCCACCTGTGAATGGTTCACTGGAGCAGGAGCCTCAAAGGCAGCTCCCAGAGATGCTAGGGGAGGTCTGGGAGCCACCTCGAGATGGGCTGCCACTACTCACTGTCATCATCGCTGCCTTCGTCCTACTAGCAATCTGCATTGTGCTAGCTGTTCACTTTGGGCCTACATTGCACCAGGGCCACGCCTCCCTCCTCACAGAGCCACCATCACTAAAGCCAGAGAACGGCGTTTACCTCATCCACTGGCGACTGCTAGATCTACAAGAGAGTCCCAGAGAAACCCAACAGGGACTTCCTATTCCTCACTCTGGCTCTGCCCTAGGTGGGCACAGGCCCAGCATTGATGAAGTCACATATTTGTAGGAGGGTGATTTGGAGTTAGCCTGACTGGTCTCAGCACAAGAAACTGGACTGAAAAGTGAATTGGAACCTGGGTGTCTGGACTCAGCTAAAGCAACCCTCAGATATTTAATGAGGAAGCTTCATGGCGGCAAGAGAAATTAAAGCCACCGGAGGACCTTACCCACAGACATGGTGCCAGGGCACCCTTACAACGTTTCCCCTCAGGGACCTCTAGAACCTCCTTAGAGTTTCTGTTCCTTTCTTGTACCTCTGATCTCCATCCCTTTTGGAATAAAGTGAAGACTCCATCCCTGAACAGGGATATCAGAGGTCTACAGAGAAGGCCCTGCCTCCATACACTGCAGATCCTGGGAGAGCTAAGGCAAAGAGCTGTGGGATGTCTTCTCTGTGGCACTGAGTATTGGAAAGGAGGCACCTCTGTAGTCTTTGGAGGGAACCTTGGCTGTTAGCCTGGGCCTTGTAATGACATCCAGAGCCCCTAGAATCCTTAATCTCCACTTAGAGGTCCAAAATTGGCCTTGGTTTGTCCCCCCAACTCTTCCTTGACATTCCAGGTGTGATGGGGGAGTTTAGGGACTCTTATTACCTCTTACTTTCTGAGTGAGGGTGGGCCTGTTAGAACATGCCTAAAATTTACTACAAACCATTTCCAGATCCAGAACTTTCCAGCTAGTGGGAAAACAGGAAAAGAACAGGAACTCTGGAACTTGTTTGGGAAAGGAGGGAGCATGGAGGGGTCCATCCCTGCAGGAAAGTAGTATAGTTCATCTGGTAGTCAGGAAAATAGAGACAGGAAACCAAAGCTGGCCTCTCTGGAAAGGCACCCCTTTCTCTGGTATCTCAGTCCTCATTCATGTGCAGTCAAAAACATACATAGACCACATAAACTGGGCGTGGTGGTACAGTCTTTTAATACTTGTATTGCGAGATGGAGACAGATGTTCACTCATTCTCAATGACATAGCAAAAGCAGAGGGGTTAGTGGTGGTGATATGCACAAAAGGCGAGGCTGGAGAGATGGCTCAGTGGTTAAGAGCCTTAGCTGCTCTTGCAGAGGTCCTGAGTTCAATTCCCAGCAACCACTAATGAGACCTGGTGCCCTCTTCTGGTCTGCAGGCATACATGAAGACAGAACACTGTATATGTAATAAATAAAGAAGTCTTTTTTAAAAAAAAAAAAAAAAAAAAGACATTTATGAAGATACCTCTAGTGCTTGACCCTTGGGGAACTCTCAAGGATAAGTCAACCTTATGGCTCTGGCCCCAGGAAACCCCACAGAATAAGAGAGGCTGGAGATCAGGGAAGTGGTGGCACATGCTTTAATCCCAGTACTCCGGAGACAGAGACAGGCAGATCTCTGTGAGTTTCAGGCCTGCCAGGGCTGTTACACAGAAAACTCTGTCTCAAAAAAAAAAAAAAAAAAAAAAAAAAAAAAAAAAAAAAAAAAAGGCAGCTGCGAACTAGGCAGTGGTGGTGCATGTCTTTAACTCCAGCACTTGGGAGGTAGAGGCAGACAGATCTTGTTGAGTTTGCCTGATCTACAGAACAAGTTTCAGAACAACCAGGGCTACACAGAGAACCTCTATTAAAAAAAAAAAAAAAAAAAAAAAAAAGACACCATGGTGGGTACCAAGCAATTGAGTTAGGATTTGAACTTGAATTTCACTGGCTCCACAGCCTAGGAACCATCCTGGGTACTGGTCCTTGCTGGGGATGTCCTTGGTTCTGGACCAGTGGCTGGAGGAGAAGGGGTGTTGGGTGTGATAGAGCCTCCTCAGTGTTGGGGGCAAGATGGCTGTGACAGTCAAAAAGAGAAGGGACTGCCCACCACTGGATTCTTCCAGCTGTGCTATTCTTAGAGCAAATGGCTTGCTCTGACGTATGTGTGTGTGTGTGTGTGTGTGTGTGTGTGTGTGTGTGTGTGTTTCCTCCAAAGTGACACTTCAGAAACATAGAATGAGGGCTGAGGGCGTAGCTCAGTGGTAGAGCACTTGCATATGTGAACAAGCTCACAAATTTGATCCTACAGAAAACACATACATATAAAACAAACAAAAAAGAAATACATAATGGTACCCTGAGCCCCAATGAAGGAAAGAAAAACAGAGGGAGGCTGAGTGTAAAGTTTGGATGGGGCTGGTAGGAAGGACTGTCTGCCCTCCCTGATGAGGGTGACAGTGCCACCACAATGTTGTTACAATGGCCTAAGGTGGACTGGGTGACTGGCCATGTCGCCCAGTGTTCCAGGGAACGTCCTATCTACTCACATACTCTTTATCCCTGATCCCTTCACAACTCTCATGGCCGGCCTCTGCTTCTTTGAATGGCCCCTTCCCTGAGACACAGGTATGTACCATGTGTGGTGTCTGTGTGTTAGCTCCACTCCACCCGGGTCCTAAGCCTTCTGCCTGCCACTAGAGGCAAGGCCACTGAAAAAAAATGGTGGGGTGTGCCCTGAGCATGCTGGAGAGCTGTCTGGACTGAAATGGTACCCATCTCCTGCTGCCCTGTAGTTGGATGAGGAGGAACGCTGGCCGTGTGTGCAGATGCAGCCAGACATGGATGTCAGAAGTGATGTGCTCCAGTGCTTTTCAGCCATCACAGCCTAGCAGCAAAAAGACAGTGTGCTCAAACCCGAGCAATGTCGTTAAAAGGACCACACACAGCCGGGCAGTGGTGGCGCACACCTTTAATTCCAGCATTCAGGAGGCAGAGGCAGGCAGATATTTGTGAGTTTGAGGCCAGCCTGGTCTACAGAGCTACACAGAGAAACCCTGTCTTGGGGTGTGGGGCGGGGAGGACCACAAGGGACCACAGAGAGTAAGTACTCCACTGTCATACAAATGCCAATGCTAGGAGCAAGGGGAAGAAATCCACTGTGAGTACATACAACTAACAGAGCAAATACCCCTGACTCGCTCTCCTCCCTCCCTCCCTCCATCTACTGAAGCTCCCATTGAACAATTGAGCACACATGACCAGAAGCTGGTCTGTTAGTACCATCCAGACAGGTCAACACAGAACAGAGAATGCTGGAGCATCCATGGGAAATACCTGGCAATTACCAACTCCTACGTGGTTTTTCCTCACAAACACCCTATGAGCGGGGCAGGGTGCCCATTATAATCACATTACGTAGGGGAGTAGACTGAGGCTCAGAGAGGTAAAATGGCTTGCCCAGGAGTGTGGGACTCATCTGGAAATATGAAATTCTGTGGGGCCCCCAACCCTTGAGGGAAGCCCCAGTCAGACCGCTCAGGCAAGGCTGTCCCACGCCTCAGATGAGGTCAGTGCGGAGTGGGAGAGGCTGCTCCATGTCACTGATGAGGAGTCTCGGCTCTTGGGATAACACAGAGGAATGGGACGCCTCTGAGGTCTGGGGGCCACTCATGGTAACTTCCTCTCTTTCTTCCTGACGAATGTGCCGGAGAACCTCCTGAGACAGCGAGAAACTGTTTCCCTCTTCGGGTTCTGGAACAGGGTTGTAGAGTGGGGGTTAGGTGAGTACCTTACACACTCCCAACAAGGACACATGTACCCTTAGGAACTGCTGACTGAGCCTTCAGCCTCCTTCCCCTCTACCCATCTACCCCACGGCCTCTGGGGGTGGGGCGGGATGGGGGGAGCCTAGAGCTAGAAGTGGTTGTCAAGGTCCTCTTCTACTTTTAGAGATGATGTTCCGAAAGGGCAAAGACATGCCTAGAGGTCACACTGCCAAGGAGAGGCAGAGTCAAGGCTGGCCACAGTCGGGTGGCAAGAAGACATCTACCAAAGGAGGAGAGGGTATGTCCTTCTGACCACTAGGGAAAGCCTGATTCCTTGTTCTCTGGCCTTCTGTGAGACACTGGGATTCCTGATTCCTGTGTTCCTGCCCTACCAGTCTCTCACCTTGGTAGACAATGAGGCGGCAGTTGTTTCTAGACTCAGGGACATCGGACAGGATGTCTTCAAGTATCCGGCAGAAGAGTTTGGCCTGCTCCAGCCGGTCCTCCCGACTAAAGCCAGCTTTCCCATCCTGTGACATGGCAAACAAGGTCTGCAAGGGGGTGGCATACTCCAGGATGCAGGCACCTGCCTGGAGGAGGTGAGAACAAGATTAGACTAGACTGGGCCAGGCCCCTGACAGATGAATTGTGGACCCGATATCATGGGCAGGGTGAGAGTTGTGGGACATAACTGCCCTATAGGGCCTCTGATGCCCCCATTCTAGCTTAGGGCCTGGGCTGCCCTGAGTACCCTTCACAGATTCTCCCCCCTTGGATCCTAGAGCATGGTATTCTGGCTGGAAATGGAATCTGGGGGAATGCTCTGGGCTTTGCTTTTCTCTAGGTTTCCCCACACCCAATTTTTCAAATGGTCTCACAACCTTCATTATTGTGTCCCTGCAAATTACTCTCCTCCATTACAGAAGTAGGGATCACAACAGTCCCTGCCCCACAGGTTGGTGGTAAGGTTGAATGAGGTGGCCATTTGGTGTATATAGACTAGCTTCTGTCATATAGGAAATGTTTCATAAATGATATTCATTTATATATTCATCACTGAATCTTGTCAGCAAAGAGTTATGAGTTCTTACCAGTGTGTGGCAGGGCCCCAGGCTTCTAGCGAGACAGGCCTTTTCCCCAGGCCCAGTTCTGTACACTTACTGGCTGCCCCTTCTCCAGAAGCTCATAGACACTGTTGGAATAAACCCGATTCTTGATGCCAGCACGGTTCATGTTTTGCTGGGGCAGCATTTCTCGGAAGCGAATGTTGGGATCAGCCACACTCAGGTCATCAGGCACCCCGCAGTCCAACGGGAAGAGAATATACAGCCTTCGGCTCCCTGCTCCCCGTAACATGTTGTTGTGTAGCTGATTGAACGTTCGGATCCGGGCCTGGAGCCCTGCAGTAGGGAAGCCCAAGAAGTCATCTCGTTAACTTTGTCTCCCACCCAATCTAGAACTGACACAGGTCAGACCCAGGCAGAGGTTAGGAGCACTGATGGCCCTTCCAGAGGCTGGGTTTGATGGTGGCCACTGATCTATAGTTCCAGTTACAAGGAATCTGAAGCCCTCTTCTGGCCTCCATGGGTAGTAGGCACACATACGGTACACAAACAAATAGACATTTAAAACACCCATAAAAATATAATTTGATAAAAGAAAAATATATAAACATATAATTCTAAGAAATGTGATTAAATGAAATATGAATGATGATCCCATATAGTAGATGAGGTCAAAGAGAAAAGGAGCATTAGCGGGATCTGGCATGTTATATTTTTCAAAATCATTCATGGGGGCTGAAGAGTTGGCTCAGCAGTGAAGAGTACTTGCTGCTCTTCTAGAGGACCTGGGCTCATGGGTGCTAACCATTTGTTACTCCAATTCCAAGGGATCCAATGCCCTTTCCTAGCCCCTGCAGGAAAGAAGCACTCATATGGTGCACAGACACACATGCAAAACATCTATACAAGTAAATAAAAAAAAACAAAAAACAAACAAACAAACAAACAAAAAACACAACAAGCATTCATGGAAAGCCAAGTGTGGCAGCATGTATCTGTAATCCCAGTACTTAAGAGTCAGAAAGATTGCAAGTTCAAGACCAGGCCAGCCTGGTCTACATAGCAAGTTTCTGTTTCAAAAGACAAAAGGAAGAAGAGGGAAAGGAATCACACAAGGAAAGCTGGCTGTAGTGGCACATACCTGTAATCCTAGCTTTTAGAAGACTGAGGCAGGATGGGGACTGCCTGGGCTACATAGCACACCTGTAAGCACATAGCAAGCACACAGAATTCATGCAGGCACACACAGGCATAAGTTATAGCAAATAAATCTTTGCTGGCTGGTAGCGGTGCACACCTTTAACCCCAGTACTCAGGAGCCAGGGCAGGTGGATCTCTGAGTTTGAGACCAGCCTGGTCTTCAAGAGTACGTTCCAGGACAGCCAGGGATACACAAAAACCCTGTCTCAAAAAAAAAAAAGAAAAAAAGGAAATACATCTTTAAAGAAGAAAGACCAGGCTGGGGAAATGGCTCAGCAGGTAAAAGATGCTACAAAGGCTGACTCTGTGGATTATCCCCATAACTCATGTAAAAGGCCATAATGTGGTGGAGTGTGTCTAATTCCACTAATTCCAGCACTCCAATAGAGAGGTCAGAGGCAATGACAGGGGATTGGCTATACAGCAGCAGAAACAAGAAAGACCCTGCCTCAAGAAGGTAGAAGGAGAGAACTGATTCCAGGTGGTGTCCTCTCTCCTCTGTGCGCACACCTGCACTCACGCATACACAACATAAAACATTTTAAGGGAGGGAAGAAGGCAAGTATTCAGGGTCTTGGGCAAAGCACTGAATAGCTTTTATCACAGTCTTATTTACTGCAAACCAGGCACAATAATGATAGCCTTGACCGTAGCTCAGAAATGTAGTCGGGTTTGTCTTTGGGCCTCCAGCTCACAAAAATAACATAGAGATATCTTATTAATTACAGAAGTTTGGCCGTTAGCTTAAGCTTGACCCCAACTAGCTCTTATAACTTAAATTAACCAATTTATATGAATTTACATTCTATTATGTGACCACAAGTGATATGGAAGTCCTGCCTATCTCTCCTGCCTACCTACTGGCTTTTTATTCAGCTTTTTATTACACCAATCACAGCAATATCTCTTCACACTGTGTACAAATATCCCACAACACAGTGGTAGAGTGCTTACTAGGCATGTGTAAAGCCCCATATTCAATCCTCAAGACAACAAATTAATTAATTAAAATCAACAATAATAACAAGCCAAGTACAGTGGCTCACCTCTACCAGGACTTAAAAGAGATGCAGGAAGATCAGAAATTCAAGGTCATCTTCAAATACATAGGTGTTTTTTCATTTGGTTGGGTTGTTTTGTTTTGTTTTTGTTTTTGGTTTTTTTTTTTTTTTTTTTTTTTTTTTTTTTGAGACAGGGCCTCTCTGTGTAACAGTCCTGGGCATATGCCCAGCTCGGTACATAGGGTGTTTTAAAGCACCCAGGACTTTCAAACATTTGTCTCAAAGATCACACTAAAACTCTATAACACCCTTCACACGAACAGGGATGCTTTAGGATAATTTAACTATTTGGTAGACATAGAAATCCTTCAAAAAGCATAGCAAAAAAGTATAGCAAAAGCCACATGTCTTGTCTAAAAATGGAGATGCGGAAGGTAGCCTACCTGGCAAGATCAGTCGCAGGTACCCAATGTAGTATGACCAGGCCAACCCATGTGCAACATTGAAGTTCTTTTTCTCACAGACAGCAGAGATTTCCGCTGGGGCCAGGTTCTGTAGACATCAGGAAGGGCCTGAGGGACTTCCAAGAGGTACAGGACAGCCAGAGCCCTTCTCTTGCAGGAAGTTTTCCACTCTGCTGCCCACTTGCTCTCACTGCTGCTATTGAACTTACCATCCCAAGCCCCACAGCTCTACACCTAGCTCTCGAACCTTTAAACTAGTCTCAATCCCAGCACTGAGCTCAGGTCAATACTAGTCATAGTCCTATCTACCCACACCACCCACCTCATCCGTATCCTACCTGGAGGCCCAGAAGGATGCTGAGGGACTGTGAGAGGCCCAGGAGGGCAAGCATCCAAATGAGATTCAGGCCTTTAGAGGTTGAGAGGAAGCAGTAGAAATAGAAGGACAGCAGCAGCAGGGCCATACGGCGGATGGGGCAGCCCAGGCAAGCATATGCAGCCTTCCAGTAGTTGCCCCGATACCTGCAGGGGACAGCCCAGCCTCAGAGCCCAGCCCAACACAGCCAATGAGGTTCAGGGAAGGCCAAGGTTAGGAGTCACGGGTCTGATACTTGTTTGGTGCCCAATCTCCATGGGTACTGAGGAGGGTCACCTGGAGTGGACGTGGCACAGCTCTTCAGCCAGACAGCAGACCTCTTTCAACAGTAATCCAAGTTGCAGGGAGGCTAGATGAAGTACCAGGTACTGGAGTGTGTGGTTTTTTGGATCCCCTAACCCCCAAAGGATCATTAGGCTGGCCACCAGCAAGACCAAGGCTGCCTGTTTGGACCGGTGACCTCTGGGATGTGGGATGGATGGATGCAGGCTGGAATATGGCATCTGTGGGCATTAAGAAATCCACAGCTATGTTTCTGGTCTTCTCTTGTCCTTCACCTGCTGAGATCTTCACTGCTCACCTCCCTGGGTCTCCCATCCCTTGTTGCCCAGCTATTCCTACAGGATGCTCTTGCAGACACCTCTAGGAGATGTCCTGGGTACACAGCATTCCATAGCACCTATCTAGGAGAGGTATTGTAAACAAGAACCCATGCATGCATGTCTCACTGAGCCCACTGGTGTGATAAGAAAGAGAATGTGACAACCCAAGACCTAGTCTTAAAATGTCCTATGTTGTCAGGCAGCTGTGGCACACATCTTTAATCCTAGCACTTGGCAGGCAGAGGCAGGTGGATCTCTGTGAATTCGAAGCCAGCCTGATCTACAAAAGGAGTTCCAGAACAGGTTCCAAAGCTAACAAAAAAAAAAGAAAAGAAAAGAAAGAAAGAAAGAAAGAAAGAAAGGAAGAAAGAAAGAAAGAAAAGAAAAGTGTCCTATGTTGACTGGTCCACCGAGAGTTGTTCCAGACATGGAATACCAGGACAGTATAGCCCCATTTCTAATCCTACCTTCAGCCTCCCAGACCGAGGTGTTCCTGGAGCAGGACAAACAGGAAGAGTTGTACAGTAGCTACTGGCAAGCAGCCTCTTGGAGTGTAGACTAAAAATAAAATGTTAAAAACAACTGCAGCTTCCTCAATAAAACCGCACAGTGGCCCCTCACAGTTTTGGGTAGTCTAGGGAGAAGTGTGTTTCCTACCAAAGCACTCCCACCCTACCAGCCTTCATAAACCAGGACTGAGGAGAGGAGAGGGAATGAGGCTTGAAACACCCCCTCCATAGCCCTTTCTAAACCCCAAAACTTAGGGTGTTCGGAGCTACTTACCAGCAGCCACAGCCCTGCACTCTGAGTTCCTCTCAAGCTCCCAGGATGTAACACACTCCAGTGGATACCCTGCAGGACTCTACACAAGGACCAGAGATGATAGGGCCCCACCAGATTTCCAGATGTTCATAAATCCTCTAATGGCTGGGCTATCAGGAGGGGAGGGTTGGGGCAGGAGAGGTTGAGAGGGAGGGTAAACAGCACATGTTACTTCCTGAAACCAATCTGCTCTGAACAGAGTTTGGTGGAAGAAACCTAGAAGAGGAGGGTGCTCAGTTCTGGGAAAGGACCACGCCTATAACTTAGAAAGCTCAGACGGCAGAGTGGGCGGGTACTAGCATTCTGAATTCTTAATCCTGTTTCACTCATCTAACCAGATCCCCAGGCAGGCGGCTCTAATTCTCTCCGGATTTTTTATTTGTTTTTACAATTACAGCCTTTTATTTATTGTTGGGGAACTAAAATAAATTATTCTCTCCTTTAACCGTGTAGGTCTCCACGCACTCTTAGGCTTATCAGTAAGCACCTCTGACCTGCTAGCCATCAGGCCAGCTCTTTTTCTTTTACGTGAGGGTGATCTGAGCTCAGAGGTACAATAACTTTACCCAAGTGAGTGAGACCTTGAAGCCCGTGAATTGCTTGGAAGCCACTGGCTCTGTGCCTTGTTTTAGAGGCAGATGGAAAATGCCAGGACCATGGCTCATGCAGTTTCCCTGTCACAGAAGAACCCGGCTGCTGCCGCCCTGGGCCGAAGTTTATTCCCTCATAGGCAAGAAAGTCGTCTCCTGAACCCCTCCCCACAACACAAGCAGACAAAGGAAAAGACAGACATTCAAAGGTGCCTCTTGCCTTCCAGTAACACTTTGGCTTCCTGGAAAGTCTTTGGATTTTTAGAACAAGTTCCTTGAACTACAGGGAATCCCCCTACAGGCTCCCTTCCTCACAGCTGACTCCTTGCAATAGGAATCTAGGCGATTTTTTAATTCTGTTTTCTCTTCATTCACTACATGGAACAAAAAGTATGTGTGCTGGTGTATGCCTGCAATCCTAGCACCAGGGATCCTGAGATAGGAAGACTGCACTGAGTTTCAGGAAAGCCTGGTCTACATAGTGAGCAATAACAACAAAGTATCCATCAAGGAGAGGCTGGAGAGGTGGTTCAGAGATGGAGAGTCCTGGCTGCAGCAGGTGGTAGTGATGTGTGCACTCAGGAGGCAGAGGCAGGCGGAACTGTGTGTTAGAGCTGTTACACAGAAAAATCCTGTCTTGAAAACAAAACAGGGACAAAACAAAAGGAGTCCTGGCTGTTCTTCCAGAAGATCTAAGTTAGATTTCCCAGTACCTATATGGTGGTTCACAACCATATCTAACTCCATTTTCAGGGGATTTGATGCCTCTTCTAGTCTCTTCTGGTACCTGTCATGAAAGTGGTACATGCAGGCAAAATATAATACACACTAAATAAGTAAGTAAATAAACAAATAGATATGCTTGTTATTTGTTTTGCTTTTACTATCCAGTTAGAACCCTTTCTGACATTGCCTCCATCTAGGCATTACTGCCTTCCTTCCTTTTTTCCTTCTTTTTTAGTTTTGCAAAATAGGGTTTCTCTATGTAACAGCCCTGGTTGTCCTGGAATTCGTTCTGTAGGCCAGGCTGGTCTCAAACTCACAGAGATCCACCTGCCTCTGCCTCCCAAGGGCTGGGATTAAAGGCGTGCACCACCACTGCCCTGTTAGGAACTATTTTCTACTTGCTCCATTCCCTTTACTCATCCACTATTCTGGGCAATGAAGTGTATGAATGCCACAAAAGGTACTGAATCAAGTTCTTTAGGAACAGTTAGATATGCCTGGAAGTCAGAAGCAAGTAATGATGGAGACCAAGAGCCTTAGTTAGGGTTTCTGTTGCTGTGATGAAACACCATTGACCAAAAAGAAAGTTGGGGAGGAAAGGCTTCTACTTCAGCATTGCAGTTTATCACTGAAGGAAGTCAGGACAGGAACTCAAACAGGGCAGGAACCTGGAGGCAGGAGCTGATACAGGAGCCTTGGAGGGGAGCTGCTTACTGGCTTGCTCCCCACAGCTTGCTCAGCCTGCCTTCTTAGAACCTAGGACCAGCAGCCCAGGGATGGCACCACCCACCACCAGCTGGGCCCTCCCCCACTGATCACTAAATACTTTACAGCTGGATCTCAGGGAGGCATTTCCCCAGCTGAGGCCCCTTCCTCTTCCGACTCAAGTTGACACACAAAACCACCCAAACAACTGACCCCTTGTCAACTTGACACACAAACTCATCTCTATTAAACCACATCCTTCCTTTCTTACTCATCCCCATGATTTTAAATAATTTCAAAAGTCCCACACTTTTTTTTAAATGTGAAAAGTTTTTTGGGAGAAGGGAATAGAGAGGGGAGAGAGAGGGGGGGGGGAAGGAGGGAGAGAGAGAGAGAGAGAGAGAGAGAGAGAGAGAGAGAGAGAGAGAGAAGACCTGCCTGCCTCTTCAGAGGAACAGGGGAAAAGGATACTTTTTTTGTTTTGTTTTGCTTTTTGTTTGTTTGATTTTTTTTTCAAGACAGGGTTTCTCTGTGTAACAGCTCTGCCAGTCCTGGAACTCACTCTGCAGTCCAGTCTGGCCTTGAACTCTCAGAGATCTGCCTGCCTCTGCCTCCCGAGTGTTGGGATTACAGGCATACACCACTACTACACAAAAAGTCCCACAGCCTTAACAAATTCAAGCATATTTCAGTTCCTTTAAAATAGTCAATCTCTTTAAAAATACAAAGTCTTTTAAAATTCAAAGTCTCTCAACTGTGAGCTCCAGTAAGATACCTTCTTACTTCAAGAGGAAAGAATCAGGACAAACCAAAATTCCAAACGTCTAGTATCTTGGATCTACTCCCAATCTTCAGGGTCACTTCTCTCTCTGCGGTCTGCAACACACAGCTCATCTTTTGGCTCTAGGTGGCTCACTCCACTGCTACACTGCTGTTCTTGGTGGCCATCCCATGGTCCTGGCGTCTCTAAAATGCTGGTGTCTTCTGCTGCAACTGAGATGCACTTTCATCAATAGCCTCTCATGGCTCTTCTCATAGCGCAAGCCTCAGTTTCTCTGCCTGACCTTTAGTTCTGGGCCTTCAACTGCTACTGAAGCTGCATCTTCACCAACGGCCCCTCCTGGCCTCTCACAGTGGCAAGTGTCAGCTGTTCTCTATGACTCCTTCATGTCTTCAAAACCAGTGCTACCTGGGTGACTCTTACAAATGACCAAATCCAGGTGCTGACAGGAAGTACAATCTTAGTCACCTCTGGAACCCAGCTTCTTTGTGCTCTCAGGAAACACTTCCCGGAAGATTTCACCTCCATGATGCTGGTCTTTTCTTTCTTTCTTTTCTTTTCTTTTCTTTCTTTTTTTTTTTTTTTTTTTAAGATTTATTTATTGTGTTTACAATGCTCTGCTTACATGTCTGCTTCAACACCAGAAGAGGGCACCAGACCGGATTACAGGTGGCTGTGAGCCACCATGTGGTTGCTGGGAATTGAACTCAGGACCTTTGGAACCTCTGAGCCATCTCTCCAGCCCGATGCTGGTCTTTTCTTCCTTCCTTCCTTCCTTCCTTGCTTCTTTCCTTCCTTCCTTCCTTCCTTCTTTCCTTTCCTCCCTCCCTCCCTTTTTCCTTTTTCTTTTCTTTTTTTTTTCAAGACAGGGTTTCTCTGTGTGGCTTTGTAGACCAGGCTGTCCTGAAACTCACAGAGATCTGCCTGCCTCTGCCTTCTGAGTGCTGGGATTAAAGTCATGCACCATCACCACCCAGCAATGCTGGGCTTGTCTTAATCACCATTGATTTCCAATTGGCCCAGTAATGTAAAGGTTTCATTTCGGTAGTTCTGGTAGCTTGTCAATCCCAGCTGATTCTACCAGCCCTAGCTAACCAAGCAACAGAAT